TGTTGAGTTCCCTCGATAGGGAACGTCTCGGGTTATGACTATAACCCTTGTTCCCTGAGAAGGGAACGAGACACTGCGTCGTGTTGCCACGCCCCCTTTTCAGACCCTTGAGCGTCTTGCTTCATCGCGAGGCTAGTGTGTGTTGTGACAGCGTCACTTTTATACTTCCGGGTATGCCGTCACATGTTACGTCACGACGCAACACCAATCAGGATTGGATTAGTTTCATTCATACTTCAGAGGCGCACGCTTAGGGAGCGTCCCCAAAGAGTCGATTTTATCGACGCAGTGTCTCGTTCCCTTCTCAGGGAACAAGGGTTATAGTCATAACCCGAGACGTTTTTTCTTTACTTCTTGTACTTTTTTTCATTCAAAATGTTTTTCAAAGCTATTTGAAAACCATATGACATTTTTTAGCGTGAACACTTGTATTTGTCAGTGACCTCTAAATGTCAATCGTGTTTATGTTCCTGTAGGGCTTTCCATTTCGAGCTTGCATGTAGCAATGTCCAAGTTGGGCTGGAACACAAAGTTCGCTTCATTGCAGGATATTGTGCACAATGTGAGGATCTGTTGAAGCTGGAGCTATTTCTGGAAGAGAGGAGAGTGCAGAGGTGAAGAATCATGCGAAAATTGGTCAGAGGGTGTGCGCTTCACCCAAGATACAGACTTCTCTCTAGCTTTCTGTCATTTCTATGTCTGTTTATGTCCAGATTGTCTGTTCAATTCCTCCTCTGTTCTTTCACTTGGGATTGAAGGGGAGGGTTTTCTCTCTCAAAGGCTGTCCTTTTTTGCTGGAGAGCTTTGGCATGCCTGTTCTGGATAGCCAAAATTAAGTGAACAGTCCCTCCTTGTCTCTGCTCCGTGTCCCGGGGGCCGTCCCTACCCTGACTACCCGCTGTTGGCACACTGTCGGCCGGGCAGTAGGTTAGTCTGTTGACGGGTGGGTGGTGCAGTCACACCTCAGAGAGCGCTGGACCTGAGAGACGTGATTTTGCACACTTGGTTAAAAGGGGTGGGGTTACTTGGTGCAGGTAATGGCACCCTAATTTGTTGTTTCTGTCGGGTGCTTGACCCTTGTGGACTTTAGCACTGGAAAGGTAAGCTTTATAATGTACGTTCTCTGGTCACCTCACTAGGACACACAGAAAGCTCACTTTATTAGGGCTAAATTACATCCACACTAAATTAATTAGAGGACAAGTAACTTTTAGTTTCATCAGGTGGCATGAATGATTTCTTTCTTAGCTTTTAAAGTGTTTTTATGTAATACCGAAGCACTAATTGTGTTTAGGGCTTTCAATTTAACTTATTTTAACTTGAGTACAATTAATTAGAGAAAATATACTGTGGGTCAGTGATTCATTTTAATTTTAATTTTGAGGCTTTTTTTTTTTTTTTTTTTAGCAAATATCGATATTTGTGTTTAATTGCACTTTTTTTTGGATTGATTAATCATCTAATGATGTAATTATTGCTTTAAAAAAATTGTGGCATATTTGGGTCTCCTGTTCAACTGAGAATATATATATATTCAGTTGAACTGGAGAACTGTATATATATATATATATATACAGTATATATATATATATATATATATATATATATATATATATATATGCTTCATTAATATTTGACAATTTTGAAGGATTAAACTTCAAAATGGTTTAAAAAAACCTTCAAAAACATATGAAACAAGAATAAATGCACGTCAACTGATCATGTGTTTTCAAATTTTTTTTTTTAAATTTTTTTGTCGGGGACAGTTTTATGTGTTATTGACCCTTGGTTAAAGCTAAGAAAAAATAATTGAGTATGCCTGGGGAAAAATCTAGAAGCTGAAATAAGTAAAAAGAGAGGAAATCCAAGCATTAAGGAGCTGTAAAAGAGAAATAGAAAAGCAGCTGATGATTTTCATTTGGGTGAATTTTCTGAACTCCTGGCATAGCCAAGCAAACCAGATCTCGCTCTCACTCTCTCTGTCTGTCAAGGATCATAACACAAGACAATTTGGTTTGATGGTTTACCAAGAAAGCAGGCTTTCTTACTAACTGTGGAGCTTTAAATATGACTCTTTAATACATAACACATACATAACGTTTGTCATGGGGCACATTTACAGGGCATTTGCTAAGGTCTTGAAAGCAGCTGATCTTGAGTGTTTGCTCAAAGTGAATGAAAGACTTGCTCTCTTATTAGGCAATTATATGAAGGTTTCTCAACCGTCTAAGTCATACTGAAGATGTCACAGTACAGTCAAAGGGACAAACGGTTATGACCATATTAATGTGACATCTCAACGTGGAGAGGGCAGGCTGTGGGGACGGATGTAGTGCCCAGTAACAGATGTTCCTCTGCTTCTCAAGTGGTTTTTGCTTCAAAAACAGATTTTACATTGGAAAACAAGTGATGTCCGAGCCCGAACACTGTACCATTTTTGCCAATTATTTATTATAAAATATTACTAAAAAAGTCCTTAACATCAATCAGTTTTTTAGATATTATTAGAATGAACTATAGGTCCAATAAGCTAAGCTTTAGATGTTTTAGCTCATTCCTATGCAGTTGCTTGGTTTTGAACGTATTCTAGGGTGTTATTATGTTCTGGGTGGTTGCTAGGGTGCTGCTATTTATTTGTTATGATGTTCTTGGGGTTTTGGGTGGTTGCTAGGGTGTTGCTATCTTTGTTATGATGTGCTGGGTGGTTGCTAGGTTGTTGCTATCTTTTTTATGATGTTCTGGGTGGTTGCCAGGGTTATTATGAAGGGGGTGCGTTTCCCAATTGCATTGTTAGCCAACTATGGTCGCAAGTTGTGTCATTATCAGCATAGTTCAACGAGTCGTGATTCACAAAACCATAGTTCTAACCAACATTCGCAAACAGCATCGCAAAGTTGTGTGGTTGGAACAACAGCTCTCGACCTGTGGTTAGAAGCATAGTTTCTTGTTTGCATGACATGTGGACTCAATAAATCCTTATCTTGAGCCAAATTAGCAAGCTGACATTCAGTACAATCTGTATCTTTTATTTAGAATACATTCAAATGTCATTTACGTCTTTGAGTTTGTTAAGAGATTTAAAGCATGTGAATACGTGCTCTAGTACGTATTTAGGATCCTATGATTGAATCTAGAAATAAAGCAAATTAACCGAGAATAATGAGAATTAGCCCTCAGATGCCATATCCGTAATTTACAGCAAAACATCTAGCATTAATTCGATCTCAAACAGATTCATCAGAAGAAGTTATTACTCCACCACCGAGTGACATCATTAACCAACGTGGTTGAACGGCCAATTTGCGACAGTATGGTTTTGGGAAAAAGTCGTGACTAGCTAGTTGATTTCTTCAACGATGCATCGTACTATGGTAGTTAAGCAGCGAGTTACATCGTTGTATACTGTACACACCCCTAAGGTGGTTGCTAGGGTGTTGCTATCTGTTTGTTATGATTTTCTAGGTGATTTCTAGTAGAGCCTGACCGATAAAGGATTCTGAAGGCCGATACCGATACAAATATTTGTTGGTTTTAAAATCCGATATTCCGATATATCGGCTGATATTATATATTTTTTTTTTATTTCAGAAACGCGCAGCAAAATAATAACAGATTTCCCTAGCATTAGTTATTTGTAGTTAATTGTGAGTTTTAACTAAAATAATATGATAATGCATAACTGGTTCTCTCTGCCCGACTCTGGGACAGGGACGGTGTAGAGTGTCCCCTGGTGGACAAACTATACAACTCCAACACTCATGACATGGTTGAAGCGTGATTTGTCCATTTTTATTTTATTTTTGAAATATTAATTTATCGGCCATTATAACTGCCGATACCGATATTTTAGAAAATGCCTAATATCGGCCTGCCGATATATCGGTCTGGCTCTAATTTCTAGGGTCATTAGGTGAAAAGTGGAGTGTTCTAATCTGTTGCTATGTGGTTATTGTGATGTTCTGGGTGGTTGCTAGGGTTATAATGTGGGTTGTAAACTGTTCTGGTTGGTTTAGTTCAATGCTAGAATGTTCTATGTGGTTTCTTGGCTAGAGATCACCTTTTTCATCTATTTTATAATGCAAAAGGGAAATTTCATTCGTAAATCATAAATAGTATTTCTAATTGTTTTTACACATTAAACTTGGATTTAAAAAAACATATTTTAACTTTAAAAAACAACACAATTGACCTTTAAGTGTGTGTTCTGTAGGAGGGTATTCACAGGTAGATAGTTGGAGATGCCATTGTACTTCAAGACAATGGCTGAAGGGTGAAGGACTCGAGTGGCTGTATGTGATGGTGCCAGCTCATTGAAGCAGTGACTATGGCACCTAACGGGCACATGCTGCATTTCTCGCCAGCTGTCCAAACAGGGTCCAGAGAGAGAGAGAGAGAGAGTGGAAAAGAGTGCTAAACTTCTCTACCTCTCTGCCAAATGGAAAAGTGCACATCCAAACACAAAGCTGCATTATGCTCCTCTGCTGGGACATTATACACAGTTAAAACCAAACCAAACCGAGTGTACAAACATGGTGCATTATGTGATTGTGCTGCCTGTCTGTTAGTTTTGGTCTTAATCAGAGGTGTTAACACACATATTGGCATTTGAAGAGGGCATGTGGACGTAAGGCATTTTACAGTATAGTCAGACACTACACATAAGGATTGTTACGTAGAGTTTTTTGAGTGTTTTTTTTTTTACCGCAGTTGCGGCACTTTCAGATAAAAGGTTTTGTCGGGTTTTTGTCTTTGTTCTTAGCATTGAAAGATGAGCTGCTGTACAAGGAAAGAGAGACAGATGCCTGACATCCACAAGAGAGTACAGGTCAGTGAGGGGAATCGGACAGTTGCGATGGCCGAGCAGAGAGCAAGAGATTTATTTGGAGAAATAGTGAACTAAAGACAAAATGACAGGATTTCAGATGGTGACTGAGAGAGAAGCTTGAGTTGAGGGTAAAAAAACAGCCTTTTTAAAAAAATGTTGTGTTTGTGTTTTCCAGGCGGGGAAGGGCGAGCCCCACGTCTTTAAAGAAAAGACCTTCAAAAAGAAGCGCCAGTGTGGGGTGTGCAGGCAGAGCGTGGAGAGTTTGGGATCTTTTTGTCGAGGTGAGTGACATCTGAACATTATTGCAAGGGGTTTTAACTCCCTTTGATTTCAAGGACACCTACAGATGGGTCACCGTGATGTTGCAGAGTTAGACATGTTCCTGGATCAACATACTGTATGTTCAACAAAATGTTGTCCTTTCTCTACTCCTAAACCTAACACTACCCGTAACTTATCCCTAAAATCAGAGGGAAATGATAGTTGAAACCTAAACCTAAACTGGATATAAACTGTAAACTTGTCCTCTGCTTGTCTCTTAAATCTGATTGGTTGTTTGGGTTGTTGTTCCAGGATAAACAAAGATGTTGAACAAGGAACATATTGCACTTGGTGAAATCACTGTGGGATTTTTATTTATAAAACGATGTATTTCTGTCTCACAATTAATGTAGAGCAGAAGTGTGTTATTATAAAGATAATATGTTATTTGATATTTGAGATTAAATAATTTATAAATGAAATTAAGTATTATTGGGAAAATGTTTATTTTTAATACTAATTATCTGTAAATAAAGTATAAAACTGAAGAAAAAATATTTATTTTTTAACATTTTTCACATTAAATCCTGTTATAGTTTTACAGTTAATTTTAAGTTACTTTCGATTAAATTTATTTTTTTTGTCAAAATCGTCCCATGCCAGTGATGTTGTTAGCTAAAACTAATTCTAAAATTATATTTTTTTATTAAAACTTATTTTAAAACTTTTTTTAAAAATTTATTTTAAAAATTACAAAAAAATGGTTTCAGTAAATAAAACAAAAATAAAATAAAACAAATGTAAAAAATGTAAATATAAAAATAAAAGCTATTTCAAAATATTAAGAAATACTATAATAGTTTTTCTAAAATTGTATTGGTATTTTTAATAATCAAAAGAAAAAAAATATAGATACTATTAAGCAATTCATCCCTGGTTTAAACTCACATAAATCTAATAGTTCACTAATCTAGGGAGTTCCCTAAGATTCTCGGTAAGCCACTGATGCCTATAATGAAACGATATCAGACCTAGTCAGTATTCCTTCTCAACCATCACATCTCTCTCTTTACCACCCACAGTCTGCAAAACAGCCACTCACAAGAAATGCGAAGCCAAGGTAAGAACATTTTTCCCATTTCTCACCAGTTCATAATGTATTCATGTATCAATGTCTCTTTCACTCCCTCTTTAGATTAACATGAGTGTATAAACTGGGAGTTTATGTAGTTAAAGGCTCGCTTTCTGTGTTTCCCGCACTGAAGGCCTCCCTGTGTTGGGGCAGCAATGTTGGCAGCCGCACCACACAGCCGTACTGAAAGACTCATTGATAAGGCCAATGGGTGCACACCCATATCAGGCACGGCTCCAGAGGAGCACCCTGGGATCTAGAGTCCCAAAGCACGCTGTTAAGCTATTTGCTTTATTCACAGTTACTGACCTTGGATAGAGTAACTACTGTGAGACCCAGTTTTATATAACTTTTTTCGTCACTTCTTGGCACTGGCAAAAGTTTGGTCAATGTGCAGAGAAACAGTGAGTGGTGTAACATGGCACATGGTTACTCAATCGCCAAACCACTGAAACGCTCTTTATGACGTCGAGTGTTTGTCTACAGCTGTATCATGCAATGAGTTGAGCTCAATAGGATCATTTTCAGGTGTAAGTTACTAGGTTCAATTATGTGCAATGGATGTACTTGAACGATTTTTCTTCAAAACATACTTTTTTGTATGTGTCAGATGTGACAAAGCATGATCCTTGTTTACTCTCATTTGTGTTATGTTTGTATCCTGTGTGGATTTGGTTGAGCTACAGTAAATACTTCCCGTCTTGATTCATGCATGCTCACTCTTCTTTAGACATCTGGGTGCTTGTTCAATGACAAGTTCATGTACCAGTCTTGGCCAATCAGGGTCCTGAGTTTTGGCCGTTATAGTAGGGAGTGTCCACCCTAGAGTCCACAACTTGACAGAAAACTGAGTACCTTATTGGCCCTCTGGAGCGTCGACCAGCCTTCCCTCTCTTAGCACCTCGCAAGACAGAACAAAGACAAATTTCAAGTACACTTAAGCCCTCTTATAGGATACCATGGCAGTGGTCCAAGTCATGGGTTCAGGGCGGGTCCGACTAACTCTTGCTCCATATTATGAAAACCTTAGGCAGCGTAGACTAAAAAAAACGAATCTCACTTTTAAATGATTACACACTGTGTTTGACCCTAAACAGTACTTCATTTCAGAGTATAACCTGCAGATGTTTTATGCAGCACAGCAGAAATCAACGTAAGCCTTTCTCCTCTGCTCTTTAATATAGAAAATCCAGTCAAACGCCATTCAGCTGTTTCATGTTCCTCTCTTAAGCCTGTGTCCCCTCCCTGGGCTCTGTCTCATTATTGGATGTGAATGGTTTTTTATTCACCTCAGAGCACTGGCCTTATGGGATTTTGCACAGATTTGGAGCTGCACACTTAGATGGCTTCATCTGTGAGTTCAATGGGAATGTCCATATGTTAAATGCTCTTTTAGAAATACAGATATGTGGACCATAGAGAAAGGGAAAGAAGCCAAAGACTTTATAGAGGAAGCACTCTCAGGCACAAATGGCTTGTTAACTTCAGAAGACATTGGGGAGTTTTTAAACTCCAATCGCTTGAGTCGTAGACGTCCTTATAGAGTTCCTTATAAAGTGACGACAGTTTGAGTTGGGATGGCTGGCCATGATTTACCTGTTAATGGCAGTTTCTCAATATAGTAGTTTGTTGCTTGAGTATCATGTAGGAATTGGTCTGGGTTTGTGGGTGATCATCCCCCAGCCAACTCGATTATTGACGTTTTGATTTTTAAAGTACTAGAAACCCGGACTTGAGTAAAAGCACAAGTGCTCTATCAAAAAAGTGACTTGAGTAGAAGTTGAAGTGCTCTTTAAGCACCGCACTTAAGTAGAAGTACTAAAGTATTCAACATTTTTTGTACTTAAGTATTGCAAGTAGTTTATTTTAAAATTCACTACTTAAGTACTAAAAGTACAAGTATTGTGTCATGTAATTATTAAAGAAAGCAGTCAAAAGTTTGAACTAGCAATCAAATAAGGCGCTTTGGCGGGATACAAATTTGCTTTGGCGGCCGCCAAAAAAATGTCATTGCAGGACAACCCCTGCATTAGTTGTCAATGTGTGTGTCAATCGATACCATTACCCTATAAAACTGGCGTGTGATTTAGGCAGCATGAAAGCCAACTTGCAACGAATGATTCGTAAAATTTTTAAAATTGTAACGAGTAACTAGCAGAACATTAAAAAAATATTGAAGTAAAAGTGTTAAACTCATCGAAAATATCTACTGAAGTAAAAGTAGAAGTATGAGGAAAAAACAATACTCTATTAGAGTACAGATACAGCATTTAAGTAGTTCTACTTCGTTACTATATACATCTCTGATTATTGATTTTTCTCATTTATGTTTCCTCAACTTCTGTCATGACTCATCTACTAACAGCATATCTATGATGCTTAAAGGACCTTTCACACCAAAGACAATAACTATAAGAAGTTGAGATGACACTTCAGTTTCTAAATACACTGTAAAAATGAATATGCTTTATCTAATCAATAGAATTGTAGCAACAGATTACAATCAATATTATTAATTAAATGTAACAAATTAGAATTGAGTAATAATTAATCAAATTATTCCTTAAATGTTAACCATTTAAAATGAGTAAAGTTTACACCAAAAAATTAACGAAAATATCTCACTAACAGACAGACGTCAAAGATTAATTAAGAACTCTTTATTTTATATTTCCAACATTGAAGACACCTGATGTTAACAAGCAGAATCACTGAGGAAGAAAACCATAAGTTTAAAACAAACACCGATCACCATAATGGTGGCTTCGATTTATGTTTTTTTGGTTGTTGTGAGTTTTGAATTAATTTGACTAATTATTACTCAATTCTAATTTGTTAAATTTATTTAATTAATAACATGGCTTGTAATCTGTTGCCACATTTTTTTGATTCGATAAAGCATATTCATTTTTACAGTTTGGCATATTTAAATATAATAAATAGTCTATTTAAGTGATTTTTTTAAAGTGGGGCCATTGTTTAAAATCCCCAGCCAATATAAATATCCCAGGCTCCTCCAGGACAACAGCTGGCAGCAGATGGTGTTTATCAGGACTGGCTCTTTGCGCTTTTGATTTAAGACAAATTCTATAAATATCCGTCATTGTTTGGATGAATTGTTCACTTGAGTCGTACTGCAGAGATGAGCTGGCTGTGTCTGGTCTGTAACCAGTAAACATAGTTTAACCACCACTAGTGTAGCCTACAGTGACGGTGACCAAAAGTCTCAGACCTCAGTGGTCTGGTAATGTTTTTTTCTTTTACCCACTTACATGGAAAACCCCGGTTCTGTTTTCCCGAAATGCATTTCCTGAAAACAGAGATGAAAGTGAATTATTGTCAGTACTGCTCTCTTTGTTTGTGTGACTGTCTGGTGTGATACACCCTCGTCTACAACCTTTAAACCACAGGATATAACCTCCAGCCCACTAACAAGCGGTTGACTCATATTCAACTTGCTTTTAGCAATGAAGATCAAGCGACAAGCTTGCGAATCAAGCAAGATCAAATTGACTCTGCATGACATCACTGCTCAATTTGCTTAATTGACTGAATGTTGACATTGTCATGTTCAGATCACGCCTGTGGAGGATGTTATGAAGTTTCAGGCTGTAAAGTAGAGATTATCTGTTGAAGTCTAGCCCATGTCGAAAAGACTCTCAGGGCTCTATTCCAAAACCTAGTGTGCTGCCTACCTTTGTGAAAAAGAAGTACACTTTAGCATACTTTTAAAAAGAGTACTTATTAGGGAAATAATATACTATAAAAGTGCGAACTGAATATAAATGTGCTCTGAAATGGAAACATGCTTTTTTGGCCCACTTAAAGTGATAGTTCACCCAAAATTTCATCTTTCATCATTTACTCACCCGAGTTCATCAACTGTTTACTTACATGACCAAACAGTTGATGGCCCCCATTGACTGCCATTGTAGGAAAAAAAGGTCAATGGGGTACATCAACTGTTTTGTTAAAAACATTCTTCAAAAGATTATCTTTTGTGCATTATTGTTAAATAAATATTTAAATATATAAATATTTAAATTAGAGTATTTCACCCAGTATTTGTGCGTGCAATGGATTTGTATGCCTACCATAGCGTCACCCCTTGAACTCAGCTACAAGTTAACCACAAACTCTTTCAAGACAATTGCGAGACAATTGCTTGGCAAGTGAAGTTGCTATGTATGTTGAGCGTTCCAAATCCCTTACTTTTGAGTGTGCTGTTTTACCACATCAAATCAAAACTCCTCGCATCCTGTGAACGGCAAGGTCTTATCTATGTGCCAGAGTGGAAAATTCTGCCCATGGAGAAAAAGACTTGTAGAAGGAGGGGAAAACATATTTAGGGGGGCCAGAGAGGGGAAAAAAAGAGAGTAGCCCGTCAGATTCATTTCTGCCACTTTTCAAGGAAAGAGTATCCTGTTTCTTCCTATTGTGTTGGTCATGGTACTGTAGAAGTGGGATATGAACTGATATAAATGAGGGAAGTGAATGGGTGGGCTCTTCCAGTAAATCTCTCACTTCATCACCCCTCTTTATAAGCTCATCAATGCCATGTGTTTCCCAAGCTTCCCCCAGGCCTGTGTGTGGATATATGATTCTATGTGTGTGTCTCAGCTTTGTCCAAAGCAGTGCTAGTTTCGTTTTGCATCATTTAGAGGTTGGCGCTCTGATTCAAAGGTCTGGATAACATCCGACTCCTAATGTTGGTTAACGAGGAGAGGTATATGCCAAAAACCTACACTAACATTACTTACAGGGTATATAACCATGATAATATCAACTGCTAATAGTCTAGGACGTGGTGTCATGCCATTTAAGCTGTAGACATCTCAAAACATGGGGCTTTTTCTGTCCTCCAATTGCGAGACTCGTGCGTTTGACTTGTATCCGTAATTTTAAAGAACTGGAACGTGATTCCAATAGCAAAATGAACTCTGGCCTGAAGCTACAGCTGATGTGTTGACAGATACTATATGAAAAGA